ATATATATATATATATATATATATCACCTCTTCTTTATCCATTTGTCTATTGATGGGCACTCGGGTTGCTTCTATATCTTGGCTATTATAAATAGTGCTACAGCGAACATAGGGGTACATAATATCTTTTGAAATTAGTTCTTTGGATTTCTTCAGGTAAATAATCAGAAGCAGAATTGCTGGGTCATAAGGTAGTTTTATTTTTGACTTTTTGAGGATCCTGCAAATCATTTTCCATGGTGGCTGCACCAATTTGCAACATCACTAATAGTGCACAGGGGTTCTCATTTCTCTGCATCCTCGCTAACACTTGTTTGTTGATGTATTGATGGTGGCCATCCTGACAGGTATGAGGTGATAACTCATTGTGGTTTTCATTTGCATTTCTCTGATGATTAGTGACATTGAGCATCTTTTCATATGTCTATTGGATATCTGGATGTCTTGAGAGTACATTTTAGCTATATTATCAAGGAATAGACAGAAGGAAAATACATATTTTGGCTTATCCTTTAATTTTTTCATCAGTACAATACACATTATATTAAAAGAAGATTCAAACAGCAGTATCTAAACTATAGTACCTAAAGACTATCAGGTGACTCCAATATAAAATATTTAAATAAACCATGTAAGAGACAGGAAATTATTTTTTTCTGAAATTAAGAAAAAAGTTGGAAATTGCATTTAACTACTATTAAATCCATTATTTTAAGGTGGCATTTTAGATTAGTGTGCTGTTATATTATGGGGATCATAATAAACTAATAACCTATTCGGAAGTATCTGTCTCGAGATTATGGTATAGAAACAGGTTTGCTTATGTCTGGTTTGTCTCAAATTACTGCTGATGAATATTTCTCCTCAGTTAAACACACTGTTTCAGCCTTCATTCATTTTTTAAAGAAAATTAGAGGTTTTTTGTTTATGGCATTAAAAAAATCTACTCTGATGCTTTTGCATGTGAATTTGAGGGGAAGGGTTCTTTATTCATTTTATAAATAAATTAATTCTAATAAAAAATCTGTTTTATGTCTTAGGACAAAGTTGTTGCTGTTCAGTTCTGTAACAATGGAGACAGGTAATTATGTATAGTACATATCTGTGTAAACAGATGTTTGACATATTTTACCTCTGCTCCCTCAGAAGTAGCTACCTATACTCTAAATACTTTATTTGTGTGCATTCACTTAGGCTGCAAGAATCTTGTCTATCTTTTGATGACATCCTTACCCCATCTCTTCTAAACTCCTGTCCAAATAGTAGCCATAGTCTATCAGTCCTTCTGTTCTGAGTGATTTTTGTTTGTTTGTTTTGCTTTTTCCATTTCTGTTATCACCCACCTTAATCAGGATCCCATTATATGTCCCATTACCACTATCTTGTCCATCTCTACCAGATCAACATTGCTCTGTTCAGAAATCTTTAGTGTTTCCTCTTGGTCTATAGAATTGAATTCAGATGTCTTAACCTGGCATTCAGAACTCTCCACAACTTGATTTAGACCTATATTCTTTTCTCATCTATTCCTCCTATAAATCCTACCTCCCCTTGACTCTTTCTCATTCTCTCCTAAATCCTCCCTCTCCCTTCCACTCTCTTTCCCTCTGTTTTCCTTCTCCCTTCTGTTTCTCTCTCTTCTTTTGTAAGTCCTACTTTTCTTTTAAGATTCATACTCTACCTCCATCCTTTCCTTACTGCTCCAGATTTTAGCACCTTGTCTTCTGCTGAACATCTGTATCACTTATTGTCTCTACTACTCATATGATACATATTTCCTATGTCTGTAAACTCAGTATTATATGGAGGTATACGTGCACCCTATCAAAGGTCTGATCCCAAAAAGGGTGATAATCTGCCCTGGCCTAAAAATTGATTTTAAAATGAAACTACTTAACCATAAATTTGTATCTATATATGTCTCTAAGGACTTTATGTGAGTGAAAATGATTTATTTTTAAATATTTTTATGACAGTAAGTGATTACTATGATGAATTTGTTCATCTTTGTTAAATGTAAGAGTAAATAATGATAGTCCATAAAGAGTAACATCTGTACTAGCAATGGAAAAAAAATCCTTCAAATAATTTTTAAGTTTGGTTTACTACATTATACTTAGTTATACACTTGAAGATTTGTAAAGCTATGGTTTTTTCACGATAGAATAATCTGAATTTTTAAATTCCTGGCCTTTTTCCTTAAAGGAGAAACAATCTTAATGGGTTATGTGGCCAATGAGCCTATCAGAACATGTCCAATTTTCGTAATAATCAAAGAAATGCAATTTAGAATAACAGTAACTTCTTTTAAATTTCAGAATGAAAGGATAATGAAGAATGATAATACCCAGTATTTCTAAAGGTTTAGAAGAAATTGATACTCTCCCACACTTTTTGATGTGATTGTAAATTGGTTAAAAATACTTTTCAGGGAAATAATTTGGCAGTATGTATCAAAATCTTTAAGAAAGAGAAAAGTATGAGCAGTGATAGAATTATGGGTGAATGGGTGTATTTTTATCACAGTTTTATTGAGATATAATCCACATAACAAAATTCAGTGATTTCTACTATACTTGTAGGACTGTGTAACATTCACTACAGTCAATTTTAGAACTTTTTTATCACCCCCCAAAAAATCCCATAACTTTTAGCCCTCACTCCCCAATCTTTTTATACCCCTACCCTCAGCTCTGGGCAACCATTAATCCACTTTTTGTCTTATAAATTTGTCTATTCTGGACATTTAATATAAGTCGAATCTTTTGAGTGACTTCCTTCACTTAGCATAGTGTTTTCAATATTCATCTATGTTGCAGCATATATCATTATTTTATTCTTCTTTATTGCTGAATAATATTTGATTGTATGGATATACCACAATTTGTTTATCCATTTATTGGTTGATGGATTTTGGGCTGTTACCACTTTTTGGCTTATTAGGAATAATGCCATGAATATTTGTGTACAAGTTTTTGTGTGGACTTATGTTTTAATTTCTTTTGGATATATACCTGGAAGTAGAATTGCCAAGTCATATAGTAACTCTGTTTATCATTTTCAGGAACTGCCAACTGTTTTTTTTTTTAAAGATTTTATTGGGGAATCAGGGGAGGGGAACAGCATTGGGGAATCAGGGAAGGGGAACAGACAAGTTGCTGTCCTTTTGTTCTTCAGTCTAGTTGTGGAGGACATCGCTTCACTGGCCCATGTTGGTATTATCATTGTGCTCTTCCCGGGTGAGGCAGTCACTCACCAGCCATTGGATGGCTGCTCACGGCAGTTCACGAAAGCTCAGGCCTGCTGCCAGTCAGCCCCCCTGCAGCCTACGCTGTCGCTGACGACTCGTGGCAGCCCAGCTCCAGGTCGAGCTGTTGTTCACCATCTTAGCTGTAGAGAGCACAGCATCACTGACCCTCATGTGGGATCCGAACCGGGGCCCTGCTGCACAGAGCTGGCATCCCAAGCCAACTCTTAACCAATGCACCACTCGGTGGGCCCCAAACTGTTTTTTAAAGTGTACTATTTTTGTTCTCCCCAGTAGTTAGTGTATAAGGATGAAGGTATTAGTTTTATAATTAGCAAAAAAGATGATTTCCTTTTTGGAGGAAAGTAATGGTATTTTAACTGTTTCTTTGCAGTTTAAGATTTGTTAGTGGAAGCAGAGATGGAACAGCAAGAATTTGGCAATATCAGCAACAAGAATGGAAGAGTATAGTGCTGGATATGGCTACTAAAATGACTGGGTAAGATTGGATGTTAGATATTTCAGTGCTCATATGGTATAGTGTCTTTTAATTATTGAATTATATTTAATAGTGAAAATAAAATATCTTTTTAGATTAGTAAATAGTTTGGAGTTAATTGGTAGACACGAAGTTTCCATCTGTATTTAATCTCTAAGAAAATTGCCTTTTGCTGTTGATTGACACTGGATGATAGGAACATTGCTGACTCATTTAAAATTATGGTCTCTTGTGACCATAAAATCTCTGCTCTTCTAATGCCCACAGAATCATTCTCTGACTTAGTTTCTGTAGGACACACACACACACACACACACACACACACACACACGCACACTACTTTGAGGTTATCCCTATTATATGTCTTTCTCTAACTTACTGAGGATACCTTTATAATGTTTCATATTGTTAACATTCCTACTGAACATTATATGTACACTTAATCAGCAGTCTGTTTCATCATCTTCACTGTTAATTGGAAGATATACAATTACCTCTTTAGGACACTATCGTTTCTTTAGGGTATTACCCTGAAATTAATTATCTTCCCATTAATACCAGTATAACTTTGTAGTCATAGTCACCTACTGATAATGTCGTATTATATCAAATCAAGTTACTGAATCTCTTACTGCTGTTTTACGAGACCTACTTCACAAATTTTAATATTTAAGGGAATAAGGTGTCCACTATGTGTTTTCTTCATATTTTCTAGTAGCAAACATAACTTTGTATTTTATTTTTCAAGGTATTCGTAAATGTGTTTCTAGTTTCACTTTTTTGTTGTTCTCGTGTAAGTATCTACAAAGTTTTTCCATTTTGTGTCCTTTTTTTCTCCCTAAAGAAAGCTATGGGTATTGCCTTATGTATGTACTTTCATTATTTTACTCCGTCAGTATTTAAAAGTATAGTTCAGGATTTTTAAAATCCTGAAACTATTTTTAAAAGTTGTATGCTCCTGGAGAGATTTTTTGTCATAATTTGCTATTCTAGTTGCACTTTTATTAGAAATTCACAATGTATGAATATTGCAAATTATTTTGTTTAGGAATAACTTGCCATCTGGAGAAGATAAGGTCACTAAACTTAAGGTGACTATGGTGGCCTGGGATCGTTATGACACCACAGTTATTACTGCAGTGAACAATTTCCTTTTGAAAGTATGGAATTCAGTCACAGGGCAACTTCTTCATACTTTATCCGTAAGTATTCTGTCTTTAGAACAATTAAAATGGTCAAAAAGGACGTTATTCTAGAAGACAGGAAATTTAAGTTCTAGTTTACTTTCTATGACTTGATGTCACTTGGAGAAGTAATTATTCAAGGTACTCTGTTGACATATCTGTAAAATAGTGATGACACATGATAATAGTTGCTAAAAGCAGTTAGAAAACCTTTGCAAGATCCATTCCAGGTCTGGTATTTATTTATCTGTTATGTTATGGTATGCAGTCAGGGTATATAAGTTACTTTGTTTTTAACATGAGTTGGGATTTTTTCTGTAGTTTAGGGGTAGAGCTAACTTTATTTTGACAAGGGTATCCTGTATAGTCTACCTTCATGGATTAGTTTATGTAAGAAATAGAGGTAAGAGGAAGAAGAAAGAAAAAAATGTATCTTTCCCTCTTAAAAGGTGTATTTACATGTAGATGACGTATTATACTATTATACACTTGAAATCTGTATAATCTTATTAACCAGTCACTTAAATAAATTTAAGAAATTGAGTAAAATTTAAAAAATAAATAAATGTATTTGCCATAGTAAAAGGCTGCAGTATTTGTGGTGTGAAAAGTTGATAGGATTAATAGCAGAAATAACATGGGTATGGTTGATGTTCATCAGTTTATCATGGTATGGTGTGACTTCAGGTTAAATTCAATTATTGATTCATAAGTAATTTAAGGAGAAAGGCCAAGTGATTGCCCTATGTTTTACCCAGTAGTAAGTGATAGGGACTGGAAACCAATCCTTATGACTCAGTTCTCTTTGTAGTATACCATGCTTACATGCTTATTTGACTCCTTTGTGAGATAATCTTAGCTAAGGCTTCTGAGGATTCTAAAAATTTGTTTAGTTTGGGGTGGATTTCCTGTTTATCTTTCAGGTGTTTCCCAATTCTTCTTTTCTAAATAAAACCCTAACATTGTTTAGTGGAGTTTTAAATTTTTCCTTTTATCTGTTAAACCAATGCTTACCTTGTTCTGGCTTTCCCAGTTTCCTGGTACAAGTTTCTATTACTATATGGAAAATCCTATGCTGTTTGCTTGATTCTTTATTAGGAAATTTTTGTCTATCATGCTCCAATAGCATGCTCCAATAGAAATGTAATGTGAGCCACATGTATAATATTAATGTTTCTAGAAGCCACGACAAAAAAGTAAAGTACAACAGGTGAAATTAATTTTAATAATATATTTTATTTAACCTAGTATATCCAAAATAGTAGCACTTCAAAATGTAGTTAATATAACAATTATTAATGAAATATTTTACATTCTTCTTTCATATTAAGTCTTTGAAATCTAGTGTGTTTTACACTTACAGAACATCTCAATTCGGACTAGCCACATTTCAAATGCTTAATAGTTACATGTGGCTAGCAGTCACAGTATTAGCACAAGTATATATCTCTAAAAATCACAGTTTCAAAGGCCATGTTGTAGCCATTGTTTTTATAAATCAATGTAAAATTCTGTCTTAGTAAGTACCTTAATTTAGAGTTCTGTTTAATTGTACTGTTTCCATGGGCTGACTCATGGGTCATCTGTTTTCAGTGAATACTTATATTTTCTGTGTTAACAATTTGTATATCAAGGTCTTAGTAGATGTAAAGTTCTTCCATTCAGCAAATACTTACTGAGCATCTCCTGTGTGCCAGCCACTGAGTTAGGTGTTAGGAATACATGATAAATTAAAGAGACCCTGTCCTCCTGGAGTTTACAGCGTATTAGGAGAAAAAAATAATCAAATAGATGCTAAGAAAGAAAAGTGAAAAATAATACAAATTTCTAATAGGGTGACAAAACCTGGTCTGGGAGGGTTATAGAAAGCTTCCTGAGGAAATGAGGTTTGGATTAGGACTTGAAAGATACGTAGAAATTACCCAGGTCTCTGCCTAAATGTCACCTCCTTGCCAGGCTTTCCCTGATCAAACAATCCAGAGTGGCCTCCCAGTCTTTGTCTTTTTACATCACCTGACTTTATTTTCACCATAGTGTTTTATCACTGTCTTATATTTTCTTATTTGTTTATTGGCTCTCAACATGGTAGGGGATAAAAAATATTTGGAAAATTACATATATGAGGAGGTGGGGAGGTTCTTCCAGGAAGAGGTAAAAGCATGTATGAAGGTCTTGAGGTAGAAGGCAGTTGAAAGAAAGCCAATTTTGGGCTAGAGCACAGAAATTAAAAGTGTCATCAGATGGGACTGGAGAAACGGACAGGGGCCAGTCCATTCAAGGTGTTGTAAGATCTACCCTAAGAAAACCATTAAAGGGTTTAAAAGCCAAGGAATGACATGTGAATTATGCTTTTGAAAAATACCTTATAATCCTGGTAACAGAGTAGAGAGAACAGATTGGAATGCAGATAAGTAAGAGTGAGTGACTGCGTATAGAGTAGGAGTCAAGGGTAGGATGGTCCATGATGATAATTTGGATTTGTGTGACAGTGGTGGAAACAGAGGAGTGTTTAATAAATAAAAATAGGGAAGATGATAAATCTTAAGACATTACTGAGCTTGACTAGGTTTTGTTCCCCATGATCCAGTGACTACGTCCTATCCTAGGCATATGACCAAAATATAAAATCCCCTATTTACAAACTTCTTTTTCCCATTGTACACTGAAGTAGATGTGTCATTAGAGTTTAACAAAGTACTTTTATTGCTTACTGGTTAGGAACTTGAGAAAGTATATCAAATTGATTATTCAGCAGGAGATTTTGTTATAACAAATATTTTTTTTGTAGTCACTGAGAAAATAGTTTTGGTAAACTTTCAGTTGTGACAGTATTTATTGTAATGGGATTTTACCTAGTCATCTTAACACTTCACATTTTGAGCCAGTCTGCAGTTATTTTTTAATAGGCTATATTTTTATCTATAATGGTAATATGGCAGGATACTCTATTCCATTTCTTATACAATGATTTGGAATAAAATGAACTTTTTAGGTTCAAAATATATTATCAGTTCTAGAAGCTCCTTATGTGTAATATGCTGATGTGTTCCTAAGTGAAATGCAACTTCAGTATATACTGTATGTTTTTCTAAGACTTGGAGTCTGTTCTTAATTATGTATTCTGTAACCAAGAGTTAAGTAAAATCAACAATGATCTAAATCAGGTGTCGGCAAACCTTTTCTTTAAAGAGGCCAGAGAGTAAATATTTTAGGCTTTGCAGTTCACATATGGTCTTTGGTGCATATTCTTTCTTTTTTGTGTGTTTTTTACAACCTTTTGAAAATGTAAAAACCATTCTTCACTCTCAGGATATGTGTACAGAAATGTCTGGGAGCTGGATTTGGTTTGCAAACTCCTGATCTAAGATCCCTATATACTGATATTAACTGATTTATTAGAAGGGAAACATATACATAGAGCATTGGTTTTCAAACTTTTTTAGCAGCAAACCCATTTTTCAGATAGTATATTAAATGCAGCCTTCAGCTATAAAGAGATGAAGGGCAGAACCACTATACTTTGTTGTTTGAATGTATCATGGGGCCTCCTAAAATACAGTTTCAATACCAATGATAGAGAGTGCTGGATGAAGAACAATAAAGGCTTGTTTATTATCACTGTGGCAGATATTGGGTGTTAATGATTGATTCTGTTTGTCACATTTTCTGTGGCCTTTCAAATAGCAGAGTCCTAGAAATATGAATTCCACTTCAGGGACCTGGTTAATGAGCTGTAACTGTTCTGGTCTATATTTTAAACACTTTTCCAGGTCTTCTGTCTATTGAACACTTTATGAAATCAGCACTTAAATGTACAAGGAACTCTAACTTAACTATTGTAGTGTCCATGTAGTAAGTGCTGTTAAATTGGTGTGCATGAATTAATCTGAACCAGATTGATAGCACACCCTAGAGATCTCCTGACCAAATAAACCAGATACTTGGGGTTGCTTTTCACATTTAATATTGATTTTTATCACAGGGACATGATGATGAAGTATTTGTTCTGGAAGCACATCCATTTGATCAAAGGATCATACTTTCAGCGGGCCATGATGGGAACATTTTTATTTGGGACCTTGACCGGGGGACCAAAATTCGGAATTATTTTAACATGGTAAGGAAAAGCTGTGCTTAGTTCACATTAAAACAGACTTCTCCTATATGACAGCTTTGTAATTAAAGTATACTTAGTGCCAAGGAACCTGTTGTGTGTTTAAATGATATAATGGCAGAGCATGACTCAAGATGTGAGAGTAAGGCCAGTAGAAAATTATACCATTCAGGGTGACCCTGTTATTGTGATGTTAGCATGTTCCAAATTCTGGTCTCCAGCTCTAAACTCTAGAAACTCAAATTTAATAAGCTTTTGGAGGTAACACTAACCAAACTCACAAAAATGTTAATGTTTGAACTATAATCCTAATTTGTGAATCACAGAATTGGCTTTTTTATCTGCCTCTGGTAAAACCCATATGGCTTAGTTAGTAATCAGGAAGTTGTTTGGCAAACATGGAATTGGAGATATGGATACTCTTAAGATATGTTTCATACAAATCCTGGTGAGCTGTCTCTTCTCCCAGTAGAACATCCTCTTGTGGTGATGGGATTGCTCATATCCTCCAAACTTAGTGTCTCTCTCTGAAGAACAGATATAACTGAACATTTCAAAATTGTTTGTCTTTGAGCTCCTTTTTATAGGCTTATCCAGATCCAGAACTTTAATAATACCCTCTGTTTTTTGTTAATAAAATTGATTTGTGTGATGTAATATTGCGTCACAATATAAGATGTGAAGATAATATCTCGACTTTGCTAAGGTAGCACCTTTGTCAATTTGGTTGTGTTTAGGTCTTTTTTATTCTCAGTCACTCATTTAGTACTTCTTGAAATATGATATTGCTAGTAATGTTTGATACCATCCATCGTATTTTTATTATCCATAATTTCTTTCAGAGCTTTACTGTTTCATTAGGGTTCTGGCTACAGAAGCCAGGGCACATTGGAATCCAATATATTAGCAAGCAGAAGCTATTACGTACTTATTATTTGAAAATTACCTTTTAAGATGACTTAAAGTGATTCCTCTAAATTTTAGATTGAAGGCCAAGGCCATGGTGCAGTGTTTGATTGTAAATTTTCACCAGATGGAAACCATTTTGCCTGCACAGATTCTCATGGGCATTTGCTGCTTTTTGGTTTTGGATGCAGTAAATACTACGAAAAGGTTAGTATATTTAAATTTTGTTGTAGACTTCAATTTTGGATTGCATCATTTATAAATTTTGTTTGAAGTCTTCTAGTTAATAAGGGTAATCTTATGTTAATAGATATAAAGTAACAAAGTCACCTTTCTTGTTAAAAATTTTCATCACTGCCAGAACATAAGGCTTGGCAGTTCAAGTCACTATTAAGTTATATATAGGGTGATGCAGATAGAAAAATTCATTAGAAAATCCTTTTGCTTAGAACATATTCTCTGTACTACCTTTTAGGTGTAATAGGAGAACTTTACCAGATTGCATCTTCTTCTGATCATAAATTAGGAATAAACAGCTGGTGACCAAATGTTTACTTTCTTGGCTGCTTTAGCTACTATTGATCTTGTTAAAATACTTTGGTAACTAATTTAATTGGTTCCTTATATTTTATTAGCTGTGAATTTGGAATAGATTTTAGAATCTTGGAAGAGAACACAGAATCACTGAGTTCAGCTCAATACTTGTATCACCTTTGAGCATCTTTATGCAATTGATATTTACCTGTCTCACCATTTATATTATACTCCATATATCCTTATTTGAATAAAAAATAAGCAAAAAAATAGTTATAAATGTTTGTATGATTTTTGCATCTTAAATAAAAATACCTAGTTTTATTCACTGTGTTGTTGCTTTACTTCTTCCTATCCTAATTGGAGAAACACCATATAGGGCAATAAAATCGGATTGTAGGATTTTGTGGAAAAGAGGTAGGATTATGATCCAGGTGATTCATTTCTACCTAGAGGAAACATGACAACAAAGGAATATAAGAGGATACAAAAATTGTCTGATTTGAAAACTGCGTGTGTTCTAGGAATCAAAGTACTTGTATATAAATTCTCTGTGCACATTAAATACTAAACATCTGTCATAAAGATTCCAGATCAGATGTTCTTCCACACGGATTATCGACCCCTTATTCGTGATGCCAACAACTACGTACTAGATGAACAAACCCAGCAAGCTCCGCACCTCATGCCTCCCCCATTCTTGGTGGATGTTGATGGAAATCCTCATCCTACAAAATTCCAAAGGCTAGTACCAGGACGGGAACATTGTAAAGATGAACAACTCATACCACAACTGGGATATGTAGCTAATGGTATGTTGTCTCCAAGATGAAATTTAAAGCATTTTGCAGAATGTTATACTTGCTCCTGTTCTCTTGATACTATATGCCCCCTGGTAAACTCTGTAGTAGGTTATAATATATTTTATCTAATACTTATATTAATTTGCTCATCTCACCTGGACACAAATAAATGGATTAGAACAAACCAACACATGTTCAAGCAGAGAATGTGTTGACCTGCTTTCTTAGTGCCCTGAACATACATACATATGATCCTGCTGTTTATATTATTGACTTATAGTAATAATTAAATGTGTTAACTTTAATGTGTCAGGCTTTTATAATTGGAGAAATTCCACTGTTTATTGGTATTTTAACTTGAGGGTCCATAAGTTACTGGACCCAAGAAGAGGAAATTTCAAAAGCCATAAACTGGGAAGTGGCTATTTACCCATCTGTATGTTTGAAATGCAAAAAATATTGAGTGTTGGGGAGGGGGGTTGTAAGTGTTTAAATAACACTCAATCTTGGAGTATATTGAAGAAACAGTGATGAGTGTGATGCATGATGGGAGGATAGTAGAATAAGATACTGAAATAAGCTATTCTGTATCAAAGCAAATCTTCAGGTTGGCATATTTCCCTTATGTATACTTCCACTTCCCGCACCTCCCGCCTCCTACACACCCAAATGACTTCATATTTTAGTTTGTTACTTGCAGATTTTCTTCCAGGTGTGAGCCAGTGAGTTACTGATTTGCAAATGGAATTTTATTTTCTTACTCGGGAATTTAGACTTGAACTTACCTTTATAGAGTGAAATGTAAATCCTTTTATGATCTTTCATATAGATTTGTAAAACAATGAAATGGTGTTACACATATGTTAACAGTTACTTTGATGATGTCATATTAAATGAGGGAAAGCGTGAATATTAAGTAGGAGATAAAACTAAAAACATCTGAATAAAAAAATCTGTAACTCATCACACTTTATTTCCTATAAGACCTGATCATTTGGCTACTCTGTTAGATACCATTTAATCTGACCAGAGCAGCGGTTCTCAACCTGTGGGTCGCAACCCCTTTGGGGGTTGAACGACCCTTTCACAGGGGTCGCTGGGTACTCGTATGTGGGCGTATCTGCATGTGGGCCTGGAGACGGATAGAGGAGCGGTGTCTCGGTTCCTAAGAGCATCGAAAATATGTGTTTTCCGATGGTCTTAGGCGACCCCTATGAAAGGTTGAGAACCGCTGGACTAGAGGATAATATGAAAACCAGGTCAAAGATGTAGTTAAGAATGAAAAACAAATCATAGAAATAAAGTTTTTGTTCAGAAGTGATCATTGAATTTCAATGTATTGTAAGAGACACAATATCAGAAAGACCATAATTTGATTTATTTCAGAAAGGAAATTCTCATGAAAGAAAGATGCAAAACTTTTTAGGTATCTGGTTAAACTGGTTTAAACCTTACTCAAATCTCTACTGCCAACTTTTAGCTTGGAATATTCCATAGAGAGAATTCATTTTTAAATTAATAATTTAATAATTATTCTTTAAGATGAGTAGGCCCTCATAATAATGTCTAATTTGGGGATATTGAGTAAGTCACACACACAAACTGACATACCAGAATTTTTTTAAGTTCTTTTTAAAATATTTTGTTTGATACATTCTTTATTTTCATTTTAATCCTGTTTTTTATTATTTTTCTAGAAATTTATATATTAAGCTTATTTTTATTATCTTTAGGGTATACTAAAATATAAGTAACTTAGAGGCTTTATATTTTTGGTCTCATTAAGGTGATGGTGAGGTGGTAGAACAGGTAATTGGGCAACATGCCAATGACCAAGATGAGAGCATTCTTGATGGAATAATCAGGGAGCTACAGAGAGAACAAGATCTGAGACTAATTAACGAAGGAGATGTTCCGCATTTTCCAATTAATAGATCATATTCTGCTAATGGTGGTAAGTATGCATATATTTGTAGTATGATAAATGTACTTTGATTGTTTTGGGGTTTTTGTTTTGTTTCTGATGATATTAAAATTTTTTTAAATTTATTTTTCAGTTACAGAAAAATAACATTTTTATTAATTTACAATTGTGATATCAGATATACCACAGTGCCATAATCTCATCATTTGTGGTTAAAATGACTTAGCATCTTCTAAGAAATACGGATGCTTTATTTTAATACACAGTAGTACCCTTCTTATCTGTGTGGGATATGTTCCAAGTTCCCCAGTGGATGCCTGAAACCATGGATAGTGCCAAACCCTATATACACTATGTTTTTTCCTCTACGTATATACAATACAATGTAATTTATAAATTAGGCACAGTAAGAGATTAATAACAACTAATAATAGAATGGAACAATTATAACACTATACTATAATAAAAGTTACATGAGGGCTGGCTTAGTGGCTCAGTTGGTTAAGAGCTCACTTAAGAGTTTGAGCTCTGAGCAACAGCAGTTCGAGTATCGGCCCGAGCTGAGCAGCCGCTGAGCTGCCAACAGGTGGCAGGATGGCTCAGCTAAAACAAACAAACAAAAGTTACATGAATGTGATCTCTCTCTGATAACCGATCTAATAACCATGACAGCTACTAAGTGAGTAATTGGTGGGGAGTGTATATAGCATGGGTGCACTGGACAAAGCAATGATTCATGTCCCAGGGAAACAGTAGTATGGTTCAAGCTTTCATCATGCTACTCAGAACGACACGCAAATCAAAACCTATGAATTGTTTATTTCTGGAATTTTTCATGTAATATTTTCAGACCGTGGTTGACCATGGGTAACTGGAACCATAGATAAGAGAGAATTACTACTGTACTAGGTTTCTCTGGATAGATTTAAAATGTCCTTTAGTCAGAGGGATTCCATTTAGTTCTATTTACAATGTTCATTTATTTTTGAGTTTTTTCTGGTGCTTATTTTAACAGTTGAATGTTTCTGTTTCCATTTTTGTTTATTTGCAAATGCAACAAAAATAAATTAACAGGGCCCTTTGAGAAGATTAAAAAGAAAAGTAAAATTTTTATTACTGTTTTCCCCTTTCATTGCTTGTCAATTTAGAAAATGAAATTTTGATAGTTAATTTTTTTTGGTTTACACTTTTTCTCTTACTATTTTTGAAACCCTTATTAAAGCTTTATTCAGAATCCTTTTTTTGTGTGTTTTTTTGTTTTTTTTTTTATATTCCATGTATAAGTGAAACCGTATGGTATTTGTCTTTCTCCGACTTATTTCACTTAGCATAATACACTCTAGATCCGTCCATGTTGTCACACATGGCAAGATTTCATTCTTTTTTACGACTGTAATATTCTATTACTTGTGTACACCACATCTTTTTTATCCATTCATCTACTGATGTACACCTAGGTTGCTTCAATGTCTTGGCTATTGTGTGTGAATAATGGTGCAGTGAACATAGGGGTGCATATATCTTTTCAAATTGTTTTCATTTACTTTGGATAAATACCCAGAAGTGGAATTGCTGGGTCCACTTGTAGTTTTTTGAGGAATCTCCATACTGTTTTGCATAGTGGCTGCACCAGTTTGCAGTGTCACCAACAGTGCACTAAGATTCCCTTTTCTCCACATCCTGGCCAACATGTTATTTGTTGACTTTTTAATAATAGCCATTCTGACTGGTGTGAAGCGGTGTCTCATTTTGGTTTTGATTTGCATTTCCCTGATGATTAGTGATGTTGAGCATCTTTTCAAATGTCTGTTGCCCATTGGTATGTCTTCTTTGGATAAATGTCTTGTCATGCCATTTGCCCATTTTTCCATCAGATTATTTTTTTTGTTACTGAATTGTAAGAGTTTCTTATATATTTTGCATATCAACCCCTTATTGGATGTATCACTGGTGAATATCTTCTCCTATTCAGTAGGTTGGCTTTTTGATTTGTTGATGATTTCCTTTGCTGTGCAAAAACTTTTTAGTTTTATGTAGTCCCATGTGTTTATTTTTGCTTTTGTTTTCCTTGCTGGAACACACGTATCCAAAAAGATATTACTCAGACTAATGTCAGATAGTTTACTTCCTATGTTTTCTTCTAAAAAAACAAAACAAACAACCAAAACAAAACAAAACTAGACTCAGAAACAGAGTTCAAAGGGATGGTTACCAGAGGGAGGGGTGGGGGTGGGCAAAAAAGGGAAGGGATTATAGTCAATAGTATTGTGCTAAGTTTACACTGTGACAGATGATTACTAGAATTAGTGGGGTGATCCCATTGTAAGGTACAAAAATGTCAAATCAGGTGAAAATATTTTACACCTGAAACTAATACAACAATATAAGATTGTATACCAGCTATACTTCAATAGAAATAAATTATAAAAAGAATCTTTTGGTGGTGTAAATAAAGCTAGAGCTTAGATTAAAAAGCTGCTTTCTGAGCTAGTACTAATAAACATTTGTGAATCTATCAAATCATGTTAAATATGTTTTTTTTGTATTTACTGACCATTTAGTAGACTACAGATGTGAAAGTGCTTTGAAAAACATTGAAAGAGCTATAGAAAGTTTAAACATTTATTGAGTATCTGCTTTATTCATAACACTATAAAAACCAATAATGGGGTACAGAAAAGGTAGAACAAATGTATAGCAATATTGTCCAGCAGTACTCTTTGAATCTCGTATTCTATTTAGAGCTTAGATATGGACAAGTTTGGTGCCTTTGCTTAGAAAGTGGTATCTTTTTTTTGTTTTTGTTTTAGCTCTGAGAAGTCCAAATATGGATATATCTTCTCCAAATATTGGGCTCCGACCTAGTGGTCAAATTGAAGGTGTCCGACAAATTCATAACAATGCTCTTAGGAGCCAGATGGCCACTGAAAGAGATCTCATGGCATGGAGCAGAAGAGTGGTGGTCAATGAACTCAATCATGGGGTTAGTAGGTGAGTCAAATAGGTAACAGTCATAAGAAAATTGAGAGCTTTGTTAATAACTAATAACTAAGGAGTTTTTTTTTAATCCAAGCTAAGTTGTGCTTTAGTTGTTACACATTATTTGAGTTAGTTCATTCTATAACAACTATTTATTGAGTGTCTTCAATTTGCTTACCTTTTGTATTAAATAGTTTGAGGAATACTGAAAAATGAAAATCATGATCTCTGTCTTCCATGGGTTTATAGTCTAAGTTAGAAGATAAGAATACAAATACTATTAATTAAAAACATGAAGCCATATGTGAATAAATATGCCAGTGATATATGAATCCAAAATTCATCGACGGTTCTGATATTTGATCAGTTTGGGAATGTAATATAGATATATAGTAGACTCCGGTGCTTAGGGTGTGTTTGTAAATGTCATTTAAGTACACTTCCTGGTAGGATGAAAGGATTTCGCTAGGATGAGTTTCAAATTTAGAATCCCTATCCTTATTTGTAAACCCTAACATCTGCTTTAATATCAACTCCAAATAATCCACAGCAACTGGAAATCGATTTTAGAAAGAGAAAGGACATTGACAGAGAACATATAAAATCCATTTTAATCATGTTATCTCCCTAACCAAGCTTTTACCAGCTCAGCCAACAAGTAGCAAAATTAATTTGGTTTCACCTTTTCCTTCTTCAGCAGTAATAAAAAGAAATAAAAGGAGAAATAGCTAATTTATGAACTGAACGCTACCCTCTGGCAATAGAGCAATTTGAAATAATTTTGTGATCAAAATGCTAAAACTAGAATTGAAAGCAGGGACTCAAATAGATACGTGTATGACAGTGTTCACTGCAGCAGTTATTCACCATAGCCAAACAGTAGAAACAACTCAAATGTCCATCAACAGATGAATGGAAAGGAAATAGATGAGAGATTAATAGGGCCTGGTGAAAGGAAATATAGAGAGTTACTGCTTAATGGTTATACAGTTTATGTTTAGAGTGATGAAAATATTTTGAAAATAGTGATGGTTACACAACATTGTAAATCTCATTGACACCACTGAATTGTATATCCAAAAATGGTTAAAATGACAGGTTTTACATTTAAAAGTAGTTTTGTTATCTGACTTTTAAGCTATCAACTTGCTTTTTGATTTTCTGTTACTTTTGATTTGTTTTTAGGGTTCAGGAAGAATGTAGAACTGCGAAAGGTGACATAGAAATCAGTCTTTATACAGTTGAAAAGAAGAAAAAGCCATCTTATGTTACCCAAAGGGTGAGTTTAATTTCGGATACACTATTTGGAAATGTTTGCAGATGCCAAGTTTTTGAAAGGCCACTGTTATGTATTAAGGGACTATTTTGATAAGTGTTTGCATATAGGGAACTTGTTTTTTATACCTGAAATTGAGATATATGGTTATTATTAATAAGGATGAAATTTCACAGTCAGGACTATCCCAGAAAATCTAAGACATATGGTCATTGTAGGTTTAGGCTGTTTGTATTAAAATACCTTTTTTATATGGTTAAAGAAGAACCTTAAAATTATTGTCTGATCACTAATAACAGTGTAAAACAAAAGGTCAGGCCAGAAGTTGGCAAACTACTGCCCATGGGCTATATCTGGTCTACTTCTCATTCCTGTTAATAAAGTTTTACTGGAACCCATCCACACCTATTCATTTACATATTGTCTAAGCCTGCTTTCACACTATACCAGCTTGCGTGTTTGCAACAGAGATCATATGACATGCAAAGCCAAAAATATTTACACTCTGGACCTTTACAGAAAAAGTTTGCTGACACCTACCCTAGGCACACTCCTGGCTTAATTTAATCATACAGGAGCAAAATCTGATCTAGACACTGGGAAGATCCATATTCCCAGTAGAAACTGCTAAGCAGGGAGTAAGATTCCTATACTCCATTAGGTACAGCATAAGCCCCTTACTAGTACTCTGAAGTAGAAAAACTGGTGGCATAAGGAAGTTTAGTTTTGATCCCGGATCTAACTATAACTCCTAAAGAGTATGATAAGTTGGGAAGTCTAGAATGCTTTTAATTTTATTAAAAGAAACCTAGGTAGTGGACACTGAATTTTAAATGTTTCTTTCAGTATTTATAACAACAGTTTTAGGTAATTACATATGAATATCCCCAAATAGTCTTAGATCATTTTGATGCCCAATTTCTTTCTTGTTTTATTTAAATTTTCATTAGTTTCAGGTGTACAAAACAATGGTAATAGTTAGACATTTACACCCCTCACAAAGTGATAACCTCCCCAGTCTACTACTCCTCTGACATTGTATATAGCTGTTACAATACCATTTACTATATTCCCTATGCTGTACTTTACATCCTATGACCATATAAATATATATATATATATATACATATGTATATATATGTATATACATATGTATAATACATATATATGTATTATATATATATGTATATATTTAATTGTAGTTGACATTCAGTATTATTGTACTTAAGCTTCAGGTGTATAGCACAGTAGTCAGGCATCTACACATTCTATGGAATAATCCCCCTGATATTCTTAATTTTTGTTGAGATTTCGTTAGCTTATTTGATGTTATTTGATAAGGTAATTTTTTTAGAGATTCTGAATGACTCAAATCTGTGATTTATATTCTTTTTTCTTGCTAAGCTGATTTATAAAATATCAGACTTGTCTGAGACTAATAAACAGGGCAGTTGGGTCTATAAAACATTTTTATTTATAGAAAGTGAGAAACAGTTACATGTAAGATAAGAAACTGGCACTTGAGACTGATTTATAAGACTTTTCAACTTGTTTACTCCCAATGACACATTGGAGTTGTTGCTCTGACATAGTATATCAGTAATAATATTTTATATTTGTAACGGTTAGAATAAAATCGTTTTCACTTTACATTTTAGTTGTTAAAAATTAAATATTTATTTTGACCTATTTACTAAATGTAGTTTTTTATAGAACTGAAGAAATTAATATTAGATTAAAAATCATATGTACATAGATATGATTTAGATATCTTCATCCTGTAATAAATTGTGAATAATATAGTATGTGTAAATTCTGATTGGGCAAATTCTTGCAGCCCAGGCTTTCAGCACTGTTCTTAATTTGTTTACAAAGTTTTCAAAACAGGAAAGTAATAAATGTTAATTAAACGTGGGTTAAATATATATAAATCTGATTATATCTTGGGTTTTCTTCTTGGGAATGTATTCCTGTCCCTTACCTCCACCCCCACCCCAACCCTTCCCAGTTAATTTGCTTTATATATGTCCATTTATGTATGTTCTCTGAGCCTTTGATTTTTTTAAAGCCTGTTTTCCTTCTGTTTTACAGAATGATTATCAGCCTAGCTGTGGACGATCTTTACGAAGGACACAACGTAAGCGTCAGCATACTTACCAAACACGGTCTAACATAGAGCATAATTCGCAAGCACCATGTCAAAATTCACGTGTACAGGAGGACTCAGACAGCTCCTCAGAGGTTAGATATCTGATATGATTTACTCAACATAATTTTTTGTTTCTCAGTTTAGTATCATCACTTTGGGTTTACTTTTTTTTGGTGAAATCAATATACTTTTAATGGCAATGCTTAAGATATGTATGCATCATTTTTTAAATTCCCAACTTTAACTGGATTTTTTGGTTTTCTACTGCCATCTACCTATCCTAATTATATAATATAATAGGGCTTCAAATGAATGGTGAATGGGAGGTTCGTATGATAGATCTCCTGATCCGGGCTCACATTATCAAACAGGTCTCAGCTGAGTCTTCTTTCAGTTTAGAAGTCTCAGATTAGGACGCAACACAGGAACCTCTAGGATTCGGGTTCTCACTTTCCTGGTTGGTTTTCTGAGTATGGTTGGGTAGGTCAGAAGGGGCAGTTTCTCCTAAACCTTTCATTCCCAAAGTCCACTGCTCCCCAGAAGTAAGGCCAGGTTTCTGTACGTGTGTTGAGGTCGCCAGGAGGTAGTCATGGGGAAGAGGAGGGAGGCCTGGGAAGGAAACGTTTCTCCTATCCTCCATTTCACAGGCAGTCTAGAAGCCTCCAAACTGGGTCAGAGAACAAAAGTTGCTACACTTGGGGCGATGAGCCCCAGGGAGCAGGCGAATCTCAATCCTCCCCTCGCCAAGGGCGTCCCAACCCAGCCTTCCCCTCCCTCCCTACACACCCACTCACCCTCCCCTAGTTACAACAGGGAATCGTAAAGTCCAGAGGAGAAGAGAATTGGGGTAGTTCGAAACTTGAATTCTTCTCCCCCCAGCGCGGGGATAGGGCTCCGGAGGTCGGAGATTGCACAGGGGCAGGGAGGGTAAGTCGAAGGGGCTGGGGATCACTTCCCGGGCGGTGGCTCCCAGTCTTGCACCATGGGCCGGGGGAGGGGGCGGGTGAAAGGGCAGGGGGCCTCCGGGTGGGAGTGGGGTTCCCGCCTGGTGCAGCCTGCTCCGAGCCCACCCGCGCGGAGAGCCTGGACCGGGACTGCCCCTCACGCCCCAGAGAATGCGCCCGTCTAACTTTGGGATTACTTTTAAGGGTCACTTCTTTCATAGAAAATTATTTTAATGATTTTCTTATAAGAGGATAATTAATTAATAAGGCATTTAATAGGCAAATTTGAGGATTCCATTGAATTCCTTTAGCTATCTTTTCTGATTTGTTCTTAAGATATTATCTTGGTTGAGGGTATCAAACATGCCAGCAAAAGTTTGGCTTTGTGACAGTGAGAAGATGAGAGGAAATCTGCCTAGAAATGGAAAGAAGTGGAATATAAACAGTGATAACTAGTTATACAGTTCCAGAACTGATTGACTGTAATCAGCACAATATACACATTTTTTGTTGTTGTTAACTTCAGCAGACATGGAGATTACTGAGTGATGATTTTTCTCAGACCTACCTTTTTTATGGTAATGGACTAGAGAGAGAGTATAGCAGTTATTTCTTCATATTCTTCTCTTCTCCAGCCTTTCCTTTTTGTTCTCTTAACAACTTGTAGTTGTTTAGTAAATAATGAGGGTTTAATTATGCATTGACAATGTGTGGTACCCCATTCTTCTCCCACTATTCACAGTGTTTTCACTCTAATTAATGATGTCCCTCCTATCCACCCCCATGAAAGTCTTGATCTGAAAAGAATGATCCACATAGTCAGGAATTGATGGTACCTTTTTAATGTAATAATGGTGTTGTGCTTATGTTTTAAAAAAGAATCCTAATCTTAATATTTATACTTAAGTGACTTGTCTAAACTGGAGATTGTGTACACAAGGGTTACCTATTCACTTTACTTTGGTATGTTTGAAATTTTACATAATAAAAAGATATTAATTTTCTATGGAAAGTAATTATGTGAACTTGGTGAAGGTATATATTATTTTTAAAAATTGTTTTAACATGTAAGAGGGTTCTTTTTGGGAGTCTTAGGAAGTCTATTCAGTCTTTGAAATAATGAAAGATGTCTCATATCAATAAGATAGATACAAAAATGTTAATAGCCATATATCTCAATTGCTGGCTCTGTGTTTCAGGAAGATGAAACAGTTGGCACAAGTGATGCTTCTGTAGAGGATCCTGTTATTGAATGGCAAAGTGAAAGTTCCTCCAGGTAGTTTAAATGATTTTGATTTTGTCAAAATTATTTGACAGTTTGAATATGTAATTATGTTCTTATAGGAATTTGGTAAGACCAAAGTTAAAATAGTATTTTATAGTGGAAAGAGAACTGGGTTGGAATCCTAGAGTCCTGCTATTTTATCTTGGCTCTCTGGCAGTATCTTTTTGGGCATGTCAGTATGGGCTTTAGTTACCTTATCTATAAAATAAGATCTTTTGGAAATCCAAGATTCTACATCTTGGCAGGCTATATGTATTTATTTCAGTTTTAACACAACTACGTTTACCATCTCCAGTGAAAAGGAGCATCTTTATTTAAAGAAGCTTTTGTAATTTAGACAGGAATTTTGAATTTTAAATTCTGTTATTGGAAAGTTAGCTTTATGCTTTAAGAAGCATTTCACTAGAATCACTTAGGTGATGACCAAACTTTTATATTTATATTTTTTTCTCTTCAGTTAGAACAGAATCAAACATGTTGTTTATAATGCTGTTTGATTATAAAATGATGATCTTTTAATTCTGAGGCAAAACTATCCCTTTTCTAAACTTATTTATTCATAATTTTGATTTATTTACAGTGATTCATCAAGTGAATATTCTGATTGGACAGCAGATGCCGGAATAAATTTGCAACCTCCTAAAAGACAAACTAGACAGGCAACACGAAAAATATGCAGCAGCTCTGAGGAGGAGAATTTGAAATCACTAGAAGAAAGGCAGAAGAAACCTAAACAGACTAGAAAGAAGGTTTGTAAGTTTACAGGTTGTTTTTTTGTTTTTGCCTTTGATACTTGAATATTGAATAGTAACATTTGATTTGTCTCAAAAGATAACATTCCTTTGGAGAAACTAAGTAAGTAAAATTGTTTAAAATGTAAAGAAATTTTGAAAATTTTCTCTTTATCAGAAGTACAGTCTGGACCATCTTATTATTTTAATTGTTATTAAATTAAAATGTTCACAATTGTTTGTTAAAATGTAGTAGAGTTTCAAATAATAAGCCATTATAGTATAAAAGTGTTATTCCTGTCATGTAACCATTCATAATTTTCTATACATTTTTGACTTGTAAAATGGAAGGGTATGATAAATGATGTAGGTCTCTTCTTCCATTTTTTATATAGTTTTGTTTCACTCCAATGATGGTTTCTTTTTCCCACTGTAGTTTCATTTAGATGATGTAAAGACTTAATCCACATTGTTCTTTGAATATTAATTTAAAATTTTATTTTATATGCATTCTGTGGCCTGTTGCTTTAGTAGACAGAATTAGCATTTTGATTGTCACCATTTACTGGCAAAAAGTTATTGTGTTACTTGTATTTGAATTCATGTGGTATTCTAGAGACAGAGTAAAATATGTAATTTTAGGTAGTATATAGTGTCATATTTTCTGTCAGCCAAAATTGAGCAACATGTTAAGAACTCGATTATTTTACTAATACAAGTGGTGAATAATTAATTGGTAAACGAAAATGTTTAAAATTTGTATATTTTAGGTTTTATTATAATCTAATTTTATTAACATTCTCTACCTGTTATTTTTATACTACTGTTTATATATTTATTGTTTATATTTGTGAACTATATTTTAGAAAGGAGGGCTGGTTTCTATGGCAGGTGAGCCCAATGAAGAATGGTTTGCCCCTCAGTGGATCTTGGATACTATTCCACGACGTTCCCCATTTGTTCCACAAATGGGAGATGAGGTAATCATTACATGTTATAACACTTTTCTCTTAGAACCTCAAGAGCACTCACTTTAGTTAGTCTTAGGGCATTTGTGTTCTCAATTCTATTATAGCTATGTGAACACTGTCTTAGCTGCTCTGCTCAATTATATATTTCTTGTAGACAGTGACTGGATCTTATTAATTTTTGTATCCTTTGTAGGGCCTGCCACAGAGTCCTCAGTATGGTAGATGCTCTGTGAACATTGAGATAAACTGATTGGCGTGTGAAGTCCTGAAAAGAATAGTCTTTATTTTTATCTTAATTGCCATGTAGTAGAATTAAGTGGTATTTTGAGTTCTAACTCAAGTCCTAATGTTGTTTGTTTGTTTGTTTGTTTGTTTGTTTGTTCGTTTTTTAAAGATTTTTTTTATTGGGGAATTGGGGGGATGGGAACAGTGCTGGGGAATTGGGGGAAGGGACACAGACAAGTTGCTGTCGTTTTGTTCTTCAGTCTAGTTGTGGAGGACGTTGCTTCACTGGCCCAAGTTGGCACCATCATTGCGCTCTGCAGCCTACGCCGTCGCCGGCGACTCAAGGCAACCCAGCTCCAGGTTGAGCTGTTGTTCAGCATCTTAGCTATAGAGGGCAGTGTCACTAGCCCTCCTATGTGGGATCCGACCGGGGCCCTCTGGCATCCCAAGCCAGTTCTTAACCATCGTACCACTCGGCCTGCTCTCTTTGTTTGTTTTTTAAAAAAGCCCATGCTCAACCCAATAGAAAATATGCTAGAGGATAATTAACCCTTTCAGTAATTAGGGGAATCTTATTTCACAAACAAGACCTTTTTACCGAGCCTATGTTTGAATAACATAGCCATATTTATGATTGGTCAGTCAAAAATTGATTTAAAATCTATCTGGTGAAAAAAATTATTCATTTTTTTATGAAAATTATGGTAACATTGTAATATTTGAGCTCTAGTTGACTTGTATAGTATCTGATATATTAACTAATCTTTTTTGAGTGATTGAATACTTGCACACAGTTTTCAATTTAACATTAACAGTAGGAATGTAATGTTGTCATCATAATAAAAAAAAGTAACAAAACCTTGCATATGGTTCTAAAAGTCTTGGGACCAATAAAAATTTCACCAAGCGTTTCTATAATTGCCTGTTAAAGATAATCTTGTACCAGAGGTAGCTATCAAGTTGCTTTATTAATAAGCTATTACTTGCTGATTATCTTTTAATATTATGAAAATGATTTTTTTTCATAAGTTTGTCTTCTAACTATTAGGCTTTTGAGCAATGCTTGTTTGTGTGGTTATTTTAGTAGAACATGCTCTGATGAATGCTGTATTTTTAAAAAATGTAAAGAGCTTTTTTGGGGGCATATCCAAAATCATGGTTTCTTGTATTTAGTGCCTGTTTTTATGGAGGTTTAAGAGGGATAATTTAAGAGCAATAATTAATCTTAGAAGAATTTATAGGGCAAGATAAGGATCTGTATATGCTATGATATAATCTAATGAGACTGCTCGCTGTTGGGTACAGGAATAAATACATAATAAAGGATATCTGAATAACATGTTTGCAATTAACTTTTTTTAACCCCTACAATTATTTTTACATACTAATATTTAATCTTTTTAATTTTCTACTTGTATTTTTAGCTTTTAGAAATTCTGACTTAGACATTGTTGATTGGTAGTGTATGCCAATGTAGTTTTGAAGTGTCATAGTGTGGTATTTATCATGTTGCTTTCTTTTATTTATCTCTACCACTTCTTTAAAGGTATTGTGGGAAAGAAACTTGTTTTTTCATGAATCAGAACATGGTAGTGAATGTAGTCTTAAGGAGGTGAATGGTCTTACCAAGCACTTGGATTCATTTTCCTTCCATACAATGCCAGTTCTGATGTTAATTCTTATAAGAGAAAAATTTTAATTTGTCTTAAAATTACTCTATTTAGTAGCCTCTGATTAGAAATATATATAATGTATAGGCTGACGATTAAAATGTTGATATCAGAATGTGAATGACAATTTGAAATATAGAACTTTAAAATATGAATAAATATTTAAAATAAATATTTTAAAATAAAATAGGGTTTTTGTGTATGTTTGTAATTAGTCTCTGTTTCTGCAGAAATGTATGAAGCTGCTAGGGGAGAAAGGACTGCATGTGCAGTGTTTACATTCTAAAGTACTTAGTCCAGGGCTACTTACGCATAAACACTGAAGGAACATTATTTGATGGCGACAATTACCTTGTACTAATTTTTCAAAATTATAATTATGTTGTAAACAGAAAAGGACATTTGTAGGAATATGTTTTGGGATGTGTAGAGTTGTTAAATAGGGCACTGCTGTTTAATAGCTCGTGTTTTTTGTTTTAGCTTATCTATTTTCGGCAAGGGCATGAAGCTTATGTGCGGGCTGTAAGGAAATCAAAAATATACAGTGTTAATTTACAAAAACAGCCATGGAATAAAATGGATCTCAGGGTAAGTTTGCTAAATTCATAAGCTATGCAATTGAAGTAGCTTGGGAATTAAGTTACTTGCCCACAGGCTTTTTCTCGGTTTCATTCATATTTCACTGTTGATGGTATGTTGATGTACCATACATACTCTTGTACAGCTGAGTGTTATGGGTCATGTTTTATGCTTGCCCAAATTTCTATGCCACCTATTGTCTTGATTATTTAACCAAATTTATTTGAAGCTTCAGGTCCTCTAGTGTATATACACTAAAGCACAGTAGTAGTTCCCTGGTGTGGATAGTCTCCTCAAAAGCTTTGTACATTCTGGAGGCTCTATAAACTGACCATATGTGTGGACTACAAATACCCTCATGGTTCTGGTGGCCTTAGGATATAATACATATCATAAATCTCAAGACACTCAGAAATTTGTGGTGCTTTTATCCTTTGATATAGTAACCTATGTGGCTACATTGTATTGAGTAAAATAGATATGCATATTTTTTTAGAGAAGGATTTTCTGCCTGTAAATACACATTCATTTATTTATTCATACATACTTACATAAGTACAGACATAGGGATACATACACAATCATTTTTACATACATTTATATGTATTTCGTTCTTTTGTGTTTTTTTTACTGGAAAACGAGACTAAAGGACAATTTTACAGTGGTTTTCAGGTAAATGAAGGGTTGTTGTGTGCTGATGCTTAGCAGGAAGGATACAAGAGACAATGTGTATATTTACTGAAATAAAGATTTAGACACTTGTAAAAAATTGTATTTAGTTTGTAAGATGCTGAAGTATATTATCAAGCAAGAAGCTTTACATAGGCCTCTCCTGGGAAATAGGGATGCTACTATCTATTCTGAATCAGGTGAAAGTTGAGTTATTTTGTTTTTGTTTTGTTTTAAGATCAGGGGAATGAATAAGATATGATTTCTTATTTTAAATTTTTACCCTGAGCTTCTACAAATTGTAGGCGGCAGCGTATGTGTGGTACAAAACCTGGTCTTCGGAATAAGACCTGAATTTCAATTCCAACTCTCCTATATATACAAGTGTAGAACTATAAGCAAATCACTGTACCCACCAGGCTCAGTTCTGTCATCAGTTAAGAATGACTAATAATCTATAAGGGTGGTATTGTAAAATAATATTTTAGGCATTCAAAAATGTAAGTCATTTCCCCAAACATGCATGTACCTGTCTACCTGCATATACTTACATATTGTAGTTTTGCTAGAGGAGTGTTTCTTAACCAGGCAGAGCATCATAGTCCCCTGGGGAGTTCAAAAAAATATATATGGCTGAGTTATACCCCAGACCTACTAAATTCTATTCTCTAAGAGTAGGGTTTAGGTACATGAAATTTAAAAAGTTTCTCAAGGAGGTGCTGACCAAGTGACTCAGTTGGTTAAGGGCTTGCTCAAGAGTGTGAGCTCTGAGCAACAGTGGTTCAATGCCCAGCCCCAGCTGAGCTACTGCTGAGCTGCCAACAGGTGGCAGGATGGCTCAGCTAAAAAAATGAAAAAAATAAAAAGTTTCCCAAGGAGATTCTGTTGCATATCCTTGGTTTCAAGCTGTGCAATAAACTACAACCTGTTATTAAGGGTCAACAGCAATGCCTTTGTCTTGTTCCTTTGTTGCTTTCAGTTTTATATCCTACATATGAGTGAAGTCATATGGTTCTCAACTTATTCTGTGTGACTTGTTTTGCTTCTCTTAATAATCTCAAGATCCATCCATGTTGTTGCAAATGGCAATATTTCATCTTTTCTTATGGCAGAGTAGTATTCCATTGAGTAAATATATACCACATTTTTTTAAAAAAAAGATGAAATAATGCCATTTGCGACAACATTGGATGGATCTTGAGATTATTATGCTAAGCGAAATAAGTCAGACAGAAAAAGTCAAGAACCATATGATTTCACTGATGTAGTATGTAAAACTGAAAACAACAAAGGAACAAGACCACAACTTTTTTATCCAATCATCTATTGAAGGACACTGTGAAACAAAAACTCATAGACAGAGACAACAGTTGAGTGTTTACCACACACAGATGGTAGAGGAGGGTAAAGGGGGTTAAGTATATGGTGATGGAAGGAGCACTTACTCTGGGTGGTGAACACATAATGTAATATATAGATGATGTAATACAGAATCATATACTTGAAACCTATGTGATTTTACTAACCATTGTCAACCCAATAACTTTTGATAATAAAAAACAAAATAGCCATGCCTTATTACCTTTAACACTTAGTGGAATGCCTCGTGTTTCGTGGGTATCCAGATAATCTTTAAATTGTTCAAATAATGAAATATGTAGCTGTTAGGCATTTATGTTGCAAATAATAATTTATTGGTTTTCTCATAGGAACAAGAGTTTGTTAAGATTGTAGGAATAAAATATGAGGTTGGACCACCTACTCTATGCTGCTTGAAACTTGCATTTTTGGACCCCATTTCAGGCAAAATGACTGGAGAGTCTTTTTCTATTAAGTGAGTACCTGTGTGTGTGTGTGTGTGTGCGCACACACATGCGCGCACGTTTATCCCTATTGTGTATTTTGCAGAGTACAAGACTTGATGGGAGAGAAAACACTACAGCACTATAGGCTTTAGAGTTTTAAAGACCAAAGTTTAATGTTTACTTCTTGGTTTGTTTCTTTTAATTATATATACATACATACATATATATAGGTATATCTCTATGAGGAAGTTACTTCTCTGAATTTATGCCTTCATCTGTAAAATGGGAATGTTAATATGTTCCTCAGGATTGTTGTGAGGAATAAAGTAAAAACCTATATAAGTACCTAATAGTATGCTTGAAACATGCTGGTTGCTTTTATTTCTGTTAATAATAATAGTAATAATTAGTCAGTGCACATTTCTTAAAGTGAGTTTGAAATCTGAGATGAAATAACATCAATTCATGCTTTTATTTAAAAATCCTTAATAAAAAAATACCTTATATTAAACTTAGAGAACCTTCATTGATGTCTTTATATCACTGAAGTGGTAACAGCAGTTAGGCAGGGTACTCCCAAACAGATGAAATCAAATGGAGTTTAATTTAAGTAAAGGCATTTATAGGGACCTTGAGATTTGTACCATTTTGTTTAATGGCTCCACAGTAAACATATTCCTAGATAGTAAGTAACATATACTGTTCTATTTGTATGTTGATTCATATGTACTTTGTTTTCTGTACAGGTATCATGACATGCCAGATGTCATTGACTTCCTTGTGCTACATCAGTTTTATAATGAAGCCAAAGAAAGGAACTGGCAGATTGGTAAGTATAGAATAAGTTTTATGTAGGGTAACTTAAAAATCTGATTTAACAGAAAGAAACTAGTTTTAACATGTAGCTGGAAAAAGCTGTTAGCTAAATTAGAAGAATTAAATTAAAATTTTATTTTCAGTTATGTTGAGGTGATTTTATGCATATTGTGTGTGTGTCATATAACCACTAAACCTATGAGTATCTACTCTATTAGAATACAAATCTGAATTCAAAAGAAATTTATCAAATGTCAGATGTCCTAAAATAGAGTGCTTAACACTTGGGCTCATAAAACAGACCATTACTGATTGTGCTTTTCTCTCTCTCTGTCTCTCTCTCTCTCTCTCTCCCTCTCTTTCTCTCTCTCTCTCTCTCTCTCTCTCTCTCTCTCTCTGTGTGTGTGTGTGTGTGTCTCTCTCTCTCTCTTTTTCTTTCTCTCTACCTCTAGCTTTTTCTATTCCTGCCCCTCCTCCTTTCTTGCTCTCTCCCCCGTCCCCCTTTCCCTTTTTCTCTATTTCCCTTTACCCCTCTTCTCCTCTCTCCATTCCTCCCTTCCCCCTCATTAGCTGTTTAATCTTGGGCAAGTTTTTAACCTCTATGCTTCACTTCCATTACCTTTAAAATGGGAATCACATGAGATCACACCTATAAGGATAATGTGAGCTATAAATTAGTTGATATATAGAAAGTACTTAAAATGATACCTGACACAGAGTAAATACTATGTAAATGTTTACTGTTAATACTTTTAAATTCTCCTTTCTTATGTGGAAGAAACATTTTTGTCCACAATGGTTTGGTTTTGTAATCCTTAGCCATTTAGAAACAGAAAACTATTCTGAAGAGATTTTGACAGGCAAAAAATCTGAAAGCAAAAAAGAAAAGAAAAAACTCTAGTAACATACATATAGTGCAAGAAGGAGTATGCCTAATCATGATTCCAAGTAATTGATAAAAGATAAATTATATATGCTAGTATTTATTTAAAAAGACATGGACCTACACAGTTTATTTCAGAAAGATTACTAGTACCTGGAAATCAAAATCCTTGAAAAGGGTAAAATGTAAAATTCACTTATCTGGAAAACTCAGATTGAAACTGCTAACAATGCTAGTTACAATGCTACTTCTGTGTTCAAGAAAAAGTAGCAATTTAGAGTGGGAAGAGAGCTATTATTCTCAAGAGCACCCTTTTAAGAATTTCTAAAAACATTATAGGTGATAGATTCCGCAGTATAATAGATGACGCCTGGTGGTTTGGGACTGTGGAGAGTCAGCAGCCTTTTCAACCAGAGTATCCTGATAGCTCTTTCCAGTGTTACAGTGTTCAGTAAGTACAGTTATAGTTTTTTATGCCTGATATAATACTGTTGTACTATACGGACTTTCTATAAACCCTACCAGGAATAATACTTTTTTATCTGACTTAATCTAGTTTTACGAGACCTATATCTGTAAGGAAGTAATCATAGTGTACCTATAAGGAAGGACTTTGATGAGAAACTTTTTGGTCCAATGTGCTAAAACAAGTAAATGTTCCTGCTAAAACAAAGCAGGAACTGAAGACTTAACTTCTACCTCCCTTATGCCTATATTTTCTCTTAAGTATTCCTATTATAGACAACAGTTATGACTGTTATTTCATGAAGAGGACTGAAGTTAATTCAGTGTTTAAAGTCATTGTTGAGGCTGGAATATAGCAATGAATAATAGTACCTAGTCTTTTATTTAATGGTGTGAATTTTAGGCAGAGGTGACTGCATAATATTTGGATATGACATTTGTCTACAACATTTACTTTTCATGAAATCCCAGAGTTATAATATTCCTAATTAATGAAGCTTTCTGGTCAAGAATGATACAAGAAATGTTTATTCTGTGAATATTGACTTTTAGTCTCCATATTGCAGTTCAAAAGGGAATAATAAATATTTGAAGACTTTATAATACTTAAGCTGTTAGGATAAAGCAGATTATCTCACAGAAATAAGTGATCTATTAAATCGACTTTTTTAACTTGAAAGGAATTTCCCAAAGAAATCTTTTTATTCTGTATCCTGGCTTAACATTGAATATATCCTTGATTAGAATTTTTTTAAAAAGCTAAGTAAAAGTAAGAGTAAGCTTACAGCTCTCTAAGGTTCATATTGGTAGATCATATTTTCTCTATTAGAGGTTTATTATTATATTTATGTAAACAAAGTTGTACTTTAAGGGAAATTGTATTGCCTTTTTCCAAATTTCATCCCCAAGAAGTTATGCAAATTATGCTAGTATATCAAAGTAAGTGTCATGTGAATTTGATTTGTATCTTGTTTTTTAATAGCTGGGACAATAATGAGAGAGAAAAGATGAGCCCCTGGGATATGGAGCCAATTCCAGAAGGAAGTAAATATGCTTTTAAAAATTTGTTATAATTCTTTTAAAAGGAAAAAGACAATAGCATGATATTAGAAACTAATTATTTCTGGTTTTTCATTTTATACATAGCTGCCTTTCCAGATGAAGTTGGTGCTGGTGTTCCTGTGTCACAGGAGGAACTGACTGCTTTGTTGTACAAACCCCAGGAAGGAGAATGGGGAGCTCATTCCAGAGATGAGGAATGTGAACGAGTTATTCAGGGCATCAACCACCTTCTTTCCCTCGGTACAGTAAATGTGAAGGAATACTAGAAGGATAGAAGGGAAAAAGGAAAACCAGCATAATTTTAAGTTCTACAAAAGGAAATGCATTTTTTTCTCTGTACACTTTTAACTCAAGAGGCACAGTGATTCTAGTTTTGAGGGTTTTTTTGTTGTTCTTTTTTAAAGATTTTATTGGGGAATTGGGGAAAGGGAACAGCACTGGGGATTCAGGGGAAATGGAACAGACAAGTTGCTGTCCTTTTGTTCTTCAGTCTAGTTGTGGAGGACATCACTTCACTGGCCCATGTTGGTATTATCATTGCGCTCTTCCCGGGTGAGGCAGATCGGTGAACGGCTGCTCACGGTGGCTCTTGGCAGCTCACACGGCTGCTCGCGGCAGCTCTTGGCAGCTCACACCAGCTGCGGCAGCTCTTGGCAGCTCACACACATGGTAGCTTATGGCAGCCCACTGCAGCCTACGCCGTCACCAGCGACTCATGGCAGCCCAGCTCCAGGTTGAGCGGTTGTTCACCATCTTAGCTGTAGAGGGTACAGTATCACTGACCCTCATGTGGGATCCAAACCAGGGCCCTGCTGCTCAGAGCTGGGGTCCCAAGCCAGCTCTTAACCAATGTGCCACTCGGCCAGCCCCAGTGATTCTAATTTTAATATTAATGTTTCTGTATGCTTGGCTAAAGCAATGACTGAAATTTTCTCAGTTCTCTAGTGGCTTGTAATAGTGAAGGCAGGTAGAAGGTGTCTTTTAATTTCTTGAGTCATTTTGACTCTAGCTATTCCCTGAGCCTGACTTTGGATGGGTTCTTTGGTAAAGACAATGAGTGAGTGATTAATGTATTTTACTCATATAATTAGTGGTATTTTCTAAAGAATATCACTTGAGATGTTTGGCATTTATCCAAAAAAGACATAAATTTGAAGTTGAACACAGTTCTTTTTAAATGTTGTCTCCTTGTACCTGATTTCGACCACTGTATCATGCATGATTCATGGATACTATGTCCAGTATTAGTCTAATATTTGCATAATTGAATCATCATCATTTAAGAAATGTAGTATATTGCTCTTCTTGTTTATCTATGAGTTTTGTTTGTTAACATGAAACATTAATGTTCTTTATAATTTCCTTTTTTATTATTTTGGTAATATTGTAGATTTTGCCAGCCCTTTTGCTGTTCCAGTGGATCTCAGTGCCTATCCCTTGTATTGTACTGTAGTTGCTTATCCAACTGACCTCAACACCATCAGGCAGAGACTTGAAAATCGCTTTTACAGGTCTGTTTAGTTTCATCATTTACTATAAAGTTTATAATTTTATGTCTTTTGATTTCCTTTTTGCATAATGATACACTGAGGTCTGTGTTTTCATAGTGTAAAATAATCATTCAAAAGACACACTCCAAATTGTCTTCTAAAAATTTAGAACACTAATTTCCCTTTATTCATTAGATTATCATGATATCTTCCAGGGTAAGAAGAGGTATAGAATGAAGTACAGAGAGAAAGTCAAGATTAGTACAAATCACATGTGACACAAAAACTAAAGTTAAAATTTTAGTTGATTAAAGGCAGATTTAGTAGTTTGTGGATTTATCATAATTATGGTGCTACAAAGTCTTAAAGCATATTTAAATCTCCTGTTAGGGTATTGACTGGCAGTTAATTAGATTTAATTACCGACCCCAAAATGTGTATACAAAAATAGCCAGATTATTTTTTTGCTTTGCTTTTAGTTGGGAGCGGAGTGATTATGCAAAAGCAGTGGAGGGCAGCTTTTGGTACCTCTCTTTTTTGTTGTTTTTTTTAAGAGCATTTTAGTTTTCTTTTCTTTTTTTAAGATTTTTTTTATTGGGGAATTGGGGGATGGGAACAGCGTTGGGGAAATGGGGGAAGGGGAACAGACAAGTTGCTGTCCTTTTGTTCTTCAGTCTAGTTGT